TATATATATATATATATATCTGCAGGTAAGAATTAAGATGACATCACTAGAAAGGCCACTGTTGAAATTTTGACTCCATTATGTGCAACTTTTAAAAAATAAAATAAAATTGAGGAATTAAGTCCAGCAGAGGTTCAGTACACCTACATTATATTAATTAAAAACTGTACTGCTGTATATTGGTGATTTGTCATTAAATGTTAGCAAACTAATCTGGGGACACTTGGGACTACATTTATGCATACACATAACTTTTTAAAAGAGTTGTGATCAAATAGATTTACTTACTACGTAACATATCATTATATGCATTATCTGCAACGGAGAAGATGTGGGGAGGAGCCTCTGAGCGTCTCTTCCCTTTGTAAGCAGAAACTACTTCTGTTTTGTAGACAGGAAGCCATTTGTAAGGATTTATTGTCACACAGAAGAGGCCTGAGTAAGTCTAGAAATGAAAAGAATGGATACCAAAAATTTTAATAAGAAGAATATTGTCTCTTCGTGACAGAAGGAATAAGGATATAAAATAGGATATTTAATAAAATAGACACATAAATCTTCCAACATTCTTAAGTTAGATCCAATAAAGGCTAGAAACCAGGAGACTGTGAGCTTGTTTTGCATTTGCCATTAAAGCATCTGGGTGACTTTGGGAAGTCCACCTCTCTTAGCCCAGTTCACCTTTGGGGAAAAAAGGAGCAGGAAGGAGTACTAGGTATATTCATTACTTTGACTTATTTATAAAAAATAATAAAGATGGGTTAAATGCAACATATAAAAAATCTATGCAACCAAATAAAGAAACATTATCATTTTAAACATACTTTAAATAATCTTCAGACAATTTTGTAGTTATTAATATGCTTAATTTCAACAGCCAGCTGATGAGAGAGTTATGGGGCCCGCAAGAACTTTGGAGGACTGTTGATTGTGGGTTGTACAACTTTGCTTTAAGACAATGTCGTGATTCAATTGCCATATTCACACACCTCTCTTTCTTTAGAATTTTTTCAGAATAAAAAGATGTGATGAAAAGTAATTTATTTATTGAAGAATCTTTTCTAATATCTTTGACCCAAAACACAGTATCCATTGACTTTACTGATCCTAACGTATTTGCTTTCTTCCATTTTAGAAACAGCCTTCCCCAAATTGTTGTTCTTTAAATAGGCTGATAAAGAGAATATTGCTAAGGAAATAGAGGAATGTATCACAAAAATTATTTCATAAAAAAAATCCTTAACAATTCTTTAGGAAAAAATATTAAGGCATTCTTCTACAAAAATATGTTATTCAAGTAGCATATTTTAAGATGACAAAGTAAAGAAATCATACATAAATCATCCAGTTAGAGTAGCGTCTATACAAATTATATAGCACAGAAGCTTCATTTAAATGGGTTAACATAGCCATATCTTCCATCATGTCAAACTTTGGAGGGTTCATCTGCTGAACATCATCTTCTTTTACAGTAAGAGTCTGCAAAAAAAAAAAAAAGAAAGAAATTGGATGCATTATATTTCCCATTATTATTAATTTGAAAGGTATTTATGTATATCTCTGTCCTCCATTTAGTTGTGTATGATTCTTGGAGATTGCCTAGACAAGCTTTCTTAAAAGTAGTTTGTCATTGCCTCTTTCCTAAAGAGATTGACACAAGAACACTCAGTTGTCTTTGCCTCGTGCCTTAACCATTATACCAAACAGATTTTCAGATAACTGGCTGGCTGGATGATAGGACAAAAAATGGGGGGAAAAATCAACAATAGGATGAAAAAAGAGAAAGAAAAATATCTAAACAAGTGAATTCTGGTCTTTGCAGCAGTTACAAACTTAATTATTACTATTCCCACCCTCCCAAATCACATAACACATAACTTTTTTCCCTAAACAATCCTTTTCCCAAAATCACCAATTCATTTTTGTCCATTTTCAGGAACAGTCAATAAAAGGCTTCTGGTATTTTTATAAAAGTAGTTATGTTCCTCTCCTAATAAACAGGTCAATTTAACCATTTCAGCAAGTGCTACTATCTTCACAATCCACTCACTCATCTGTTGTGAGTAATTTTGTATTTTTCTATCTTTGTGGATATTGTAGCCTCACTACAAAATGACATTATTAAATATTATTCCAAAGTATACATTATTAACAAATGCAACTTAAAATTTAAACAGATCAGCACAGTCTTGTACCAATATCTCTTAGGATGATTATCAAATAGAAAATTAAAATGTCTCTTATTTTAAAAATTATGAGACATTATTGCTGATTGTAAATGGTAGGTGTGTAATTTTGTTTTATAAACTATGGTGTAGAAATTCAAATAATGATAATAGTAGATTTGAGGTGTTCAGATATTAATAATGATGCTGGCCATCTAAGAATAAATTAAAAGCCCTCTGACATGAAGACTGTAAGTTATATTCAAAGTTAAATTCCAACCACTGGAAAGCATATTTCATGCATGAAAAATTTAAAAACCTATGAAATTGAGCAAAAAAGCATGTTTATTTAAAAACCGGTAAACAACTGAACAATCATTAAAGTGGCTATTAACTACTGAAAATCTTTACGATTGTTTACAATGCTTTTTAGAGAATGTATAGAGAATTACAAAATCTACCTCTATCATTTTGTAAAGTCAGATCTTTTTATTATACTCTACTTATACTCAGCTGCTTTGTATTAATACATGTGACATAAAAGAGTTAAGATTTTATTGCTCATTGCCTCTGAGAATATTCAGAGCTGTCACAAGTACTGTAGCTTAACCAAGATTAGAAAGATAAGTATGACCCAGAGTCTCTACATAAATAAATCATATGTGCCCACCCCGATTCCCTCCAAAGATAGCAGCATAAAAATGTAAGGTTGCTTCCACAGCAACAGGAATCCCCTATACTTGACCACCCATCCATCTTTAAACTGAAGCACATAAATCAATTAAGATATGGCCCATCTTTATATAATTACTCTTCTACAGCCATCTCAGGGGTGTCAAACTCGATTTCATTAAGGGCTGCATCAGGCCAGGGTGGGCATGGCAGCTTGAGGTCACTCGTGTCAGGGCACCAGGCATGGTGGATGGATGGATGGATGGATGGATGCATGGATGGATGCATGGATGGACGGATGGATGGACGGACAGGCAGAAAGGCATAGAAATATAAAGGCAATCTCCAGCTATACGTGCCATTTCTTTTTTGCCTTGGACTAATTGACCTTATTGTTAAAGCGTCTCTGGACCAACTCTTTATGGCGGCTTGTTGTTTCTCTGCCTTGTAGGTCTTGCACTTGTGACCTATCAAGCAGAGAATGTTCCTTACCTTCCCATCTGTTGTCTCTACTGTAACTTTGCCAGCACCACTCTCTTTGATCTCTGCTTCAATATATGCTTTCTTTTCATCAGGGATCCAACATTTCTTCTTTCCTTGAAAAGGAAGACATTTTTGTCATTATTCAAGCATGCTAAATACTTAAAATTGTCAAATAACAGCAACAGCTGTATATTATACAATGTTCTCTTAGCAGTATTTAGGCTGCTTGCTTTTTTCAATGCTCAACACATATCATAGATCGAGTAATGCCTACAAAATCTATTCAGATAAGGCAATTTAAAGATGAGTGGGCTTCAGTTCCCAGAATTCTCCATCTAAATGTTTCTTCACCTCAAAGAGGATAGTTTATTTAAATATAAAACAAACCAACAAATAATTGGTCCTCACCTGTTATTATAAACATTGCCTGATATAACTTGTGTGGTTCTGTGATTCAACCAGAATAACTTTTTATGGCTAAAATCCAAGTTCAGACCTACAATGTACCTTTTATATCAGAACTTTCAATTATATTGTATCCGATCAGGTATGTGCTTTACCAGTCTAGGAGAAATGATGGGCAGAAGAATCGCATTATATCTTACCATCAAAAGCCACTGTCTGCAACACCATGATTTCCTTCTCACTTTTTCGGAGGAAAGGTGCAGCTTCCCCGAACTCCGACATGTCCATCATCTTGGCAAGCAAAGTGAAGTACGCTCACAAAAGAAAAATGAAGCAAGCTAGCCTACAAAAATAAAATAACAAATTCAAAGTAGTCCAAACAGAAGTAGTAACACCTTTTCAACTTTTTAATAGAATAACAGAATCCCTTCTGTTATTCTATTCTATTTTCTATTTTCCAACATAGCCAAACATAGACCCTGAACAAATAAAGGGAAAATCTGTATATTTGAGCTTAAGAAATACATTTGCATCAGAAAAATCATTCCTGTTAAAGTAGCAGGACACTAAAGCATAGAAAAGGAATACGCTTCTTGTTTGAAATAACAATTTTAAATTAAAATATTGAACTAAGGCTGGATATATCCAGATTCAAATTCCTTTTCAGAAAAGGAATTGAATTGAATTGAATTTTATTATTTGTATGCCGCCCTTCTCCGGGAAGGACTCAGGGCGGCGAACAATTCAAAAGGGGAAAAAGGGGAACATAAAACGAAGTACAAATAATTAAAATAGGCAAGAGTCATGCAACCATACAAGTCGAGAGGGGAGGGAACTCATCAACCCCAGGCCTGCCGGCAAAGCCAGGTTTTGACGGCTTTTCGGAGGCCTGGAGAGAGGTGAGGGTCCGAATCCCTGCGGGGATTTTCAGGGAAACACGGTGCTTGCATGGAACATGTTTTCAAATTATTAGATGGATGGAAGTTGAAGTGACGGAAGCCCACCCTACCACACAGGGCCTAGGTTCAAACCGCCAGAGCCAGCGTCAATAACCCACTGAGCCACTGC